TATCATGTAATAGAAAAAAGGCAAAGTATGTACTAGGGAAAAATAATTCAGTTTATAAAACACTTTACTTTCTGTCCCGTGATTTATTATAATGTTTCTATAACCTCTTTATGATTTTATTTATTTACCCACAATTCACTGGGCACAGCTGTGTATTATATCTCCTTATACATTACTGTAAAGTGATACATTCAATTTTGTGTGTTTTAAAGGACCACTATAGGCACCCAGACCACTGCAGTTCAATGAAGTGGTCTGGGTGCCAGGTCCCCCTAGATTTAACCCTGCAGCTGAAAACATATGTTTACACTGCAGGGTTAATCCAGCCTCTAGTGGCTGTCTCCCTGACAGCCACTAGAGGCGCTTCTGTGATTTAAACCGAGTAAATTGCACTTATTTGACGCTGGATGTCCTCACGGAGTCCAGTGTCTAAAAAGATCCCCACAGGAAAGCATTGAGCAATGCTTTCCTATGGGCTGGTTTGAATGCGTGCGCACCTCCGGCCGCACATGCGCATTTGTCTCCACTCGGAAGCTGACGTCGATGGAGGAGGAAAGGTCCCCAGTGCCGAGGGAGCAAAATAAGGTAAGCTAAGTAAATAAGTGGTAAATTAGACATTTATTTACTGCGGAATGGTGACATATTTATCTTCCTAATGCTATAGTGTTCCTTTAAGTCTTTTTCTGTTTCATTCATTCAGTTTTCTCAGTAATATTGAGGATTAATGGTAGGAGTACTGTACGAGATTGCATAATATAGTGTGGTTTTGAAACACTTTCAGTAGGTTCATAAAAAGTAACAGGAAAACTAATAAACATGTTGCAATGTACTTTAGGTGTGACACTGATAGGAATACAAAAAAAATATTAATTGCTCTGCTGATACTGTATTTGAAAGGAATTTGCTGTTATTGGGAAATACAGATTTCCTAAATACCAGCAAGACCATGTAAATATATTCAAGTAGAGATCAAAGGGGATCATAGCATGGACAAAGCTTTATTCAGTTAATTGTATGACAGTACATACAGTAATCAGCCACACCATTACAGTCGCCTGCCTACTATCGTGTACGTCCCCCTCATACTGCCAAAACAGCTCTATTGCATCATGGCATGGACTTCACCAGCCTCTTAACGTGTCCTGTGGTATCTGGTACCAAGACATTAGCAGCAGATGTTTTAAGTCCTGCAAGTTGTGAGGTTGGGTTTCCATGGATTAAATTTGTTGTTCCAGCACATCCCACAGATGATCAGATTGGGATCTGGAGAATTTGGAAGCCAATACAACACACTGAACTCGTTGTCATGTCCCTCAAACTATTCCTGAAGAACTTTTGCAGTGTGATAGGGTGCCATCAGGATACACCATTGTGTCAGGATTTTCATAAGCGGATGAATACGTGACACATTGCCATAAAGGGGTGTACATGGTCTGTAACAATACAACAGACAGCAAACTACAATGTACTGTATGTCCTAACACATTTCTATCATGGCCAGCATGAAGTATTTTAGCAATTTGAGCTACAAAAACTTTTTTTGTGTGATCGGACCAGACAAGCTAGCCTTTACTTCCCATGTCCATGAATGAGCCTTGGGCACTCATGACCAGGGCCAGACTGGGAACTAAAATCAGCCCTGGAAAAAAATTCTATACCAGCCCAATAATGCATCGCGCCAGCATAGTGTGCTGATATAGAGGGTGAAAAAATAACTTGAAATTGAAAACTCTTACTCCAACGAAGGAACGTATATAGGGCTTCAAAATAAACAAAAGAGCGCCTTTATTTTAAGTAGACGTACATTTGCATGTAATGTTTCAGTACAACTACTTTGGCCTATTAAGGACATTTTAGTAACGGTACTGAAATGCTGAATGTCTGCAGTTGCACAACTAAAAAAATGAAGTGATCTTGTTTATTTTGAAGTTCTATGGATGCGCTCTTCACTTTGAATATGTTATTGTGCATGAGTGTGCAACTAGGAACAGGACTTGGCCAATACGTGCTCATTATATATATATATATATGTATATTTATATATATATATATTAATGACATTTATGTGTGTATTATGCATATATAAATGTATATTACTATATGTGTAAATATTATAGGCATAATTATATGTTACTAATACACACATCAATATACATGCATATATATATATGTGTATTACTGTCAGGATCACATCAATTTACGTCTATTACCTTTACCTCGTTTAGTGTATCTTGTCTCCAATTGTCTCCTTTTTTTCTCTTACAGCGACCCTTGTGTATCTTTTACTTCATCCCAGTCCAAGTGTGTTTCTTTTTACCCTTCTCCAGCCTCTGTATTTCTCTTTCCCCCAGCCCCTTTTGTGTTGTTCTTAGCCCCAGCCGCTTTGTCTCTTTCTCCTCTTCCAAATCTCATCTGTGTGTCTCTTTCTAACTCCAGACTCTGTGTGCCTCTTTCTCTTCCTACAGCCACTCACTGTCTCTTTTTCCCCAGCCCAGCGTTGTCTCCCACAAATCTTGTGTCACTTTGTTCCCCTTCCCTACTGTATGTCTCTTTGCCCCCCAACAAACCTTCTGTGTGTCTCTCTTCCCCATCTCCTCCCTGTGTCTCTCTTCCCCATCTCCTCCCTGTGTCTCTCTCTTACCGCTCTGTCTCTTTGTACCCCCATCCCCTGTGTCTCTCTATTACCCCTCTGTCTCTTTGTCCCCCCTTCCCTGGTGTCTCTCTATTACCCCATCTGTCTCTGTGTCCCCCCTTCTCCTGTGTCTCTCTATTACCCCTCTCTTTGTCCCCCCAATCCCTATGTCTCTCTATTACCCCTCTGTCTCTTTGTCCCTGGTGTCTCTCTATTACCCCTCTCTTTGTCCCCCAATCCCCTGTCTCTCTATTACCCCTCTGTCTCTTTGTCCCCCCTTCCCTGGTGTATCTCTATTACTCCTCTCTTTGTCCCTATCCCCTGTCTCTCTATTATCCCATCTGTCTATGTGCCCCCCCTTGCCCTATGTCTCTCTATTACCCCTCAGTCTCTGTGTCTCCCCTTCCCCTGTGTTTCTATTACCCCTCTTTTTGTCCCCCCTTTCCCCTCTTTCTGTCCCCTCCCTTCCCCTTCCCCCCTTCCCCTCTTTTTCTGTGTGCCTTCTGACCTTGTTACAGGAGGACTGAGGGAGGGGGCAGAGCCAGGGCCGGCCTTAGGCAATTAGGCGCCCTGTGCAAAAAGTCTTCACGGCGCCCCCCCCACCTCCCACCAAGTTGCCTGAATACAGTAACACACACAGGCACCGGGGACGTGTGTATCACGAGGCAAACAAGGCATCTGCCTTGGGCGCCACTTTGCAGGGGGCGGCAAAAAAAAGCATCCCTCCAAACCCCCAGGCAGATCCCTTGCTTGCCTCGCATCCTGGGGGCTCAAGAGCTGACCGGCTGGCCACTTTTGAGCCCCCCCAAGGCTGGCAGCGGGCAGCGAAGGAGCATACTCACCTGAGCTCTTCCTGCTCAGCTTCCTCTGCGCCGCTTAATGAAGCCGGGAGACAGAATATGACGTCAGTCCGGCTCCCGGCATCACTAAGCGCTGCTTACTCAGCCTGTGCGCCCCCTGCCTGCCTGCCCAGCAGCCACACTGGACTGCTGGTAAGAAATCCACTCCAGCTTTCCCAGGAGGCTGGGTGGATTTAAAATAAATGTAAAAAATATTAGTTTGTGAGTGTTAGTGGAAATGTCTGTGTGTGTGTCTGTGAGTGTTTATTTTGAAGTGAATGTGTGTGTGTGTGTGTGTGTCTGTAAGTGTGTAATTGTGTGTCTGTAAGTGAATGTGTGTGTGTCTGTGAGTGAATGTGTGTGTTGGTCAGTGAGTGTATATGTGTCAGTCAGTGAGTGTGTATGTGTCAGTCAGTGAGTGTGTATGTGTCGTCAGTGAGTGTGTATGTGTCGTCAGTGAGTGTTCGTCTGTCAGTGAGTGAGCGTCTGTCAGTCAAAGTGCGGCCTTGACAGGAAGGGGTGGGGGAAATTTAAACTCGGTTACAGGCATGTACACACACACTCAGTTAAAGGCAGTCACACATACAGGCACAGGCACAAACAATGGCACAGCTACAGCGACACACACACACAGACAGTCACATAGGCAGTCACACACACAGACAGACACACAGTAACACACACAGACAGTTATACACACACAGGCAGGCAGTCACACAGATAGAAAGTCACACACACAGGCAGGCAGTCACACACAGACAGATAGTTACAGACAGACACACACAGGCAGGCAGGCAGTCACATACAGGCAGTCACACACACAGGCAGTCACACACACAGGCAGTCACACAGACAGACAGTCACACAGACAGACAGTCACACAGACAGACAGTCACACACACAGGCAGTCACATACATGGGCAGTCACATACATGGGCAGTCACATACATGGGCAGTCACACAGACAGACAGTCACACAGACAGACAGTCACACACAGGCAGGCAGTCACACACAGAGACAGTCACACACAGAGACAGTCACACACACACAGAGACAGACAGTCACACACACACACACACACACAAGGACAGGCAGTCACACAGACAGTCACACACACAGACAGTCACACGCACACAGGCAGGCAGTCACACAGACAGACAGTCACACAAACAGGCAAACAGTCACACACACACACTTACCTCTTTCCAGTGGATGCAGTTGGCTGATGGGGAAGCATCTTTCCCTCTTCCTGTACAGCAGCGGCTTCGGGAGGTATTAGCCCCGTCTCCGCCTCTCGATAAGCCCCGCCTCCGCCGCTCGGTAAACCCCGCCCCCTCTGCCGCGATTTTTTTTTTTTTTTAAAATAGACCCGGGTGGAGAATAATTAATCCTCCAGCCAGGTACCTCTTTTAGCTCCCCTGCACTCCGGCCATGAGTGAGCTGTGTCGGCCACAGGGCGCCCCCTGTTCCATGGCGCCCTGTGCGGTCGCACAGCTCGCACACCCCTAAGGCCGGCCCTGGGCAGAGCTAACTACCATGCTCCCTCGCGGTTCCCATAATTCCCAGCATGGGCACATCATTACTCTATGATGTGTAGATGCTGGGAATTATGGGAACCGCGAGGGAGCATGGTAGTTAGCTCCGCCCCCTCCCTCAGTCCTCCTGTGCTGACAGCTGCACGGCTGTCAGTATCAGTGAGTGTGCTGCTGGATTGCTTAGGCGGCCGCCCGGCACACTCACTGATACTGACAGCAGCATAGCTGTCAGCATAGGAGATAGGGCCGATGGCCGCAAGGTGAGTAATCACCCCAGAGTTTGCCGCCGGACCGGCCACCCGGCAGCACCAACATGCGGCCGGTGGCCGTGATATTATTAAAATAAAGGGAGCAGGGTTTTCTCTCTATCTCCAGCCCCCCGGGTGCCGCGGCCCACCGGGAAATTTCCCGGAATCCTGGTGGGCCAGTCCGGCCCTGCTCATGACCCTATTGCCGGTTCACCGGTTGTTCTTCCTTGCACCACTTTTTGTAGGTACAAATTACTGCATCCCGGGAGCACCCTACAAAACTTGGAGATGTTCTGACCCAGTCTTCTAGTAATAACTATTTGGCCCTTGTCAAAGTCACTCTTTTCACTTGTCCGTTTTTCCTGCTTCCATCTCTCTGAACTGACTATACACTTGCTGCTTATTATATCCCACCCCTTGACAGGTGCCATTGTAACGATATAATCAATGTTATTCACTTGAACTGACAGTGGTTTTACTGTTGTGGCCAGGCCCGGACTGGCCATCGTGCATACCGGGCAAATGCCGCGATGGCCGTGGGGCCGAGGCCGGCAGGGGATCTCCCCGGCCGGCCCCTGCAGGGCCAGCGCTATCCGAGCGCCGGCCCTGCATAGTGCCTCCATGGGCCGGTGGGGAGATCAAAGATCTCCCTCACCGGCCCACAGACAGGGAGATGCGGCCGCCGGCTGGGTGAGGAAGGGAGGGAGAGAGGACCGGCGGAGCTCTAACAAGCAGCTCCGCCGGGTCCTCTCGCGAGATCCTGAGCGTTGCCGCGGCAACGCTCAGATCTCGCGAGAGTGAACTCTAACCTACAGGTTAGAGTTCACTCTCACCACTGGACCACCAGGGAAGGCAGCATGGTCCCCTCAAGGCTCCCCCTCCCAGGCAGAACGGCTCCCTCCCCTCCCAGGCTAAAGGTAAGAAGGGTGGGGGGGGAGACATAACTTTTAAAAAAAAATTATTAATAAAAAAAATATATATATTTAAAATTAATTCCCAAACAGCACCCCCAGACACACACAGCCCCTTCACACACAGCACCCCCAGACACACACACACAGCACCCCCAGACACACACTGCACTCCAGATACACACACAGCAACCCGAGATACACACAGCACCCAAACACACACAGCACCCCCAGATACACACACAGCACCCCCAGACACACACAGCACCCCCAGACACACACTGCACCCAGACACACACAGCACCCCAGACACACACAGCACCCCCAGACACACACACACAGCACCCCAGACACACAGCACCCCAGACACACAGCACCCCCAGACACACACACAGCACCCCCAGATACACACACAGCACCCCCAGATACACACACAGCACCCCCAGACACACACAGTGCACCCAGACACACACATCACCCCCAAACACACACAGCACCCCAGACACACAGCACCCCCAGAGACACAGCACCCCCAGACACACACACACAGCACCCCAGATACACACACAGCACTCCCAGACACACACAGCACCCCCAGACACACACACAGCACCCCCAGACACACACAGCACACCCAGAGACACATATATTATATTATATAAAATAACCCTCAGTGAGTTAACAGACAAAGAAAATTAGAAACCTAGAATGTGACGGCAGATAAAAACACCCTAACACACAGCACCCCTCTTACACAAACACACTGCGCACCTCACACATACAATACGTCCAAATATATATATATACACACACACTACAGCACCCTCACACTGCACCACTACACACATTACGCTCCAGATACACGCTAGATCCCTTACCCTATATGCACTCTTAATCCTCTACACACACACACACACACACAATCTTCTATACACACTCTGGGTCCTTTACACACTGGCTCTCTTACACACACACAGTGCACCACCTACACACACACTACATTCCTTGTAAGCAAACACATACAACATTCTCTAAACACACCCTCTCTACAACCCCTACACACACTACGTCACCTATACACACACACTACTGCCCATATGCACACACTCACTACATCCCCTATAACACTATGCCCCTATACACGCACTCTCTACAGCCCCTAGCCACACATATTACACCACAAAATCGACCTATTTACACAATACCACACCACACTCTACACACAGGCAATCCCACAAGCATGCGCCAAACACATGCACCATGCACTTTCCTGGCCCTTTTGTCCTCTGGTATCCCACTTGTGGAGACACCAGAGACAATTTAAAAGCAAACACAGTGCAAGCATGTTATTACATTTGCTTGCGCTGGGCAGAACAAATACAGGGCTTTTTTCTAATGCCAGAGCTCTTCAGCAGGGCTCTGGGCATTGAACCAACATGCTCACTTTCAGAGGGGGCGTGCTTGTCATTAGTGATGACAAAACACACCCTCTCTGGCCCCGCCCCCTTCTTAGGGGGCCGCTCTAATTGAAAAATGCCCGGGCCTAATTTTTTTCCCAGTACGGCCCTGGTTGTGGCTGATCAGTGTATGTGTAATTGACATATGGAAATGTATGTCTACAAGATACTGAGTAAGGAGGTCACGTTAGTAAATTACACATTTCATCTCTTTTTATTTATTTTTTACTATTTTATGCTGCATTAACTTCTCTGGTTATTTTATTTTTCTGTTAATTCACACGTGCTAACACACGTTGTATTTGCATAATATAACTGTCTTTCTTAAAGGCACACTATAGGGTCAGGAACACAGTGTTAAAACCACAATTTAGGTGGCTTGCCCCCCAAAAATCACGGTTTGTATGGTTACCCACCAAAACAACTATATATATATACAAAAGAAACGGCAACTGTAGGAACAGTGTAAGAACGATATCCCACTGAGACTATAAATAGCGAAAACTATACAAATAGCAGAGCGTAGCAAAAAGGATCAGGTATCTAATATGTTAGCAGACCGTTATTGATACTCTGTTGTAAGTGGCAACAGAGTATCTAGTATAAGTACATTCGGCACTGCGATCTGATAATCAAATTGAAAGAACACTTTCAAATACGCTTAGGTGGACAGGTCGATTACCAACAATTATTGTAATCACTTACACTGGTGAAGACAGCAAGATAGCCAATGCTCATACAGGCGCTCTGTCATTAAACTATGATCTAAAGAGTAAGGGGGGAGGCTGCAGACCATACATGGAGAGGAAAATAAGCAGTTAACATTTTAACAGGGGAGGCTGTCTGCCTATAACTTATAGCCCTAGCATCTCGTGCCTTCTCGTGCCGCATGGTCCCATGCTCAAAACAGTTCCAGAGAATCAGGGCTTGCGGTCGGTCTAGTTTGGTAGTTTGGAAAATGAACAAACTACCGAACATAGTCAATGTTCTTACCCTAGAGCTTGTTCCTCTCATCCAGACAAACAATTTCACAGAACAGTGCCCTTCTAAATTGTATAGAACTGAACGCAGGCGATGATGGAAGTCCAGCGGTATTCTGGAGTTTCTGTGTCAGATTTTTTTTCCATGAGATTCATGCCCAAACACCGCTGCCTGCGTTCATGCGCACAAGATGGCCACCACTCTTTAAAAAGAGCATACGGTAAGTTGTCCCTGGTGTGACAATGTTCTTCGATCTACTCAGGGCCACCATACTAACTAAAAAAAAAGTTTTACTTACCGTTAGCCCTGGCTGCACAGGTCTTGCTTATGAACTGACTTACGTCTATATTCTGTCCGTACTCCCACCTCTGATGCTCACCTTCAAGATTTCTCGAGGGCTGCACCGTTCCTGTGGAACTCGCTTCCCTCCTCCGTTAGATGCTCACCCAGTCTCCACTCCTTCAAAAAATCGTTAAAAACCCACTTCTTCATAAAAGCGTATCAATTAAACTGTTAATAGCTCCTGACAGATTCCTCTTCTGCAACTGTCACTAGTCTAATACTATCCTTACCTTTTGTGTCATTTTACCCCACTCCCTCTAGCATGTAAGCTCATTGAGCAGGGCCCTCAACCCCTCTGTTCTTGTGTGTCCAACTTGTCTGGTTACAACTACATGTCTGTTCGTCCACCCATTGTAAAGCGCTGCAGAATTTGACGGCGCTCTATAAATATCATAATAATAATAATACTAATGATCTCAGCCAAACCAGTGTTTTCCCATTGGGAAGCATTGGGAAGGCTAGTGTGCATGCATCACAATCGTCACGCTCCACCAATCAGCATTTCCTTATAGATCAAAGTGACTCTATAGACAGTTTTTGCCGTCATCATGCAATGCATGCAGAAGCAAAACATTGTCTCTACAAAGATTGCAGGTATCAGACAGCCACTAGAAGTGTCCTTAGGAAAAAAATTTAAACACCACCATTTCTCTGAAAAAGCAATGTTTACATTTGTGAGTGTGCAAGACAGACTCTTTGCTCCAGAACCACTACATTAAGCTATGTTGATTCAGGAGCTTACAGTGTCCCTTTCTCCATCTAGAGTAGGCCATATTGTCCTAATACTTCCCACTGTTAATTAACTGTAGTTTTGTAGTTGGGAAGTAGACAGTTGCCTAGTGGTAGTTAAAACGTCTAGGCAACTCTGGACAGTATCATGGTTAGAAATGTGGCCTCAATTATACCAAAGTTTCTAACTAGTCAGGGTGAGTTGAAGGGTAATGGGGGGGGATATAATTGGTGCTGCACCTCTAAAACATCTTAGTCATAAGTAAATCTTTGTTTCAACTCTCACTATACTTAAAAAGCAAACAGGCTGAAGGTTGCTAAACCCAGCTTTACTATATTCAGTTACGAAATAAAAATGTTTTTATTACCTGTCCATTCTCTTAGTTTCTGTCTCATAATAATGATATGCAGGTGGAAGCTTATCACACTGTAGTGT